ATAATGAAGATTCTGTACTGAAAAGCAGTTTACGATATAACAATGTCTCTTTGCTATAAGGTATTGTAAACTGGTAAAGAGATTAAACTGCTTACTGACTACTCTATATATGTACATGTTATCACAATCAAATCAAAATCTGCCTCGCAATTTCTGTATGTGGGTGGGGGAGCATGTTTATGAAATTCGTTCTAATTGCTCAAACAAAAAAAAGAAAAAGAAAAGAGTGAATGTAAATGTGATATTGGCACGGCTCAATCAGATTTAAAGGACCCAATCTTTGAGAGCTTTCATTTGATTGAGCCATTCCAACACCTCATTATATTCTCACACACATACATATATCAACTTACATTCCACTGCATTATATGCTTACTTAGCTTCAGAGATGTTTGGAGTAAGTTGCAACATCATTTCCATGTAAAGAAGAGAAGAAGAGCAATCGGCTTGAGAATAGGCTGAGAGGGAAGGGAAGGGAAAATGTGGATTTATATAACAAGGAATGGTTGAGCTGTCCATATCTTTCCTTGATATAGAAAGAAGCCAAACACATATATATTTTCCTAATATAAAACATTTATATTATGGAAGTGGTAGTGGTGGTGGTTGATCATCTTTGGAAATATTGTCTAATTGATGTGCCTTTATTTGCTTATATCTTACTTATCAAAACATATACGCCTTTTAGCAATTAATTTGCATTTAAAAAAGTTGATTTGACTAATTAAGTTAAAAAAAATCTCTCAGTTTTATATTTTGATTGTACGAGTATCTTGAGAATCATCAAATGGATGAAGGTGAGCTTCTGACAATCTACTAGAAAGTTGTAGCTAGGCAGATGTTATCTGCAGACTGCAGATGTGGTGGAACTGGTCTTGTTTTCATCGACCACCAAGTTTGTAATTTTCCATTTCAGACCTCAACACACAAGTAAACATGAAAAACTATTGTCACTTAAGTCAGAATGCCGTCTCAATGCAGGCTTTAATAACTTTTGTTATTGCACAAAGTGAGAACCTCAAGCTTCAAAATCTTAAAAATATCAATAACTATTTATGCGCGAAAAATATAAAATAAGATAATGTGTATAAAATTCATTGCACGAGATATTGTTATCAAACAAAATTGTAATCAGATTATATAAAAACAGATAATGTGTATAAAATTCATGGCACGATATATTGTTATCAAACAAATTTAAATTATATAAAGTTATAAACTATGTCATCTTTAGATGAATTAGTCAGACTACTAAGTTTGGCCTGCAGGCGACTAAGATCCTTCTTCACTGGTATCTAGTAGTATGATATTTATGTTTTAAACTGCAATAAGCGCCTTTTTGGAATCGTCTTCTCTTAACATTTAGTAACCTATTCGGCATTTTTGGGATGCACATTTTTTTAATTTCTTTCTCATTTTTTAAGCAAAGCTGTGATGTCAGGCTTCACTAATAGATTGTGTCATGATATATTGATATTTGAATTTATATTGGAAAGAAAGGCAGAAAAAATGGAGTGGGGGCATAATTAGGTTCTTTAATGCTAAAAAAACACACATAATTGAAGAGAAAATTATGGAAATCTGTAATTTGTAATATCTTGTAGATGGAAATGGTATCAAGTGGAACCCCACCATTATAAAGGTAGATCTTATTGGTTGATAGTTGGTAATATAGTAATTGACTGGCTAATTATATTGTGCCCAACACTTTCCTACTTTGACACTATGTTAGTATGTTATTGTTTCTCTCTTTTGGTTGATATATATTAGGTCACACTGAACTTCAAATGACATGGAAGCAAATTTAAAGAATGTTTGGATGATCAACTTCCACCTCAATCATATATTATGGAAGACTTTTTTGTTTGCTTGTCCTCAAATAACCAAATGCAACTTGTTAGTTAGGTTCGTAAGTTGGAAGAGAATAAAAGGATCTAAATCTAGGGTCGGCAACAGACAAGTGCACACACTTCGACTCCGGGACTGTAACGCCACGGGATTTCGTTCTCGCTCATCCCGGTGCGCCGAGCACCATACTAGTCCATAATGTTAATATTGTCTCCCTTTAGTCACTGCGGGCTTCCAGCAGTAGAGAGTTTTGGATCAGGGTCCACCCAAATAG